TTTGGATCTGTTTAGCTTGAGTTTGTGTTGTGCAGATGGCATGTTGATGGCAGTTGTGGTGCAATTGGTGGTTGCGGTGGTCATCGTGGTGTAGGCAATGGTGTGTGGTGGTGGTGGTGCATGTTGGTTGTTGGAGTGGTGGTGGTGATGGTGATTTCCATGATTTGGTGATATTGCGGTGGTTTTATTGGCGATGGTGCTGGTGGATCTAACGCTACTGGTAGTAGATCTAGAGCTGGCAGTGGTGGTGGTTGATACAGGCAGTCGTCGTGGTATTTGGGGTGGTGTTGGCTGTTATCATCGTCATTGCAGTGATGTTGGTGATGGTGCTGCTGGAGGCAGTGGTGAGGTAGTGATGGTCACAAATTATTTTGTTGATTGTAACCAATAAATTGATTAATGTGTGACCAATGAAATAAATAGTTTATGACTAATAAATAATACGTGACCTAAAAATTTGTTAAATTATGACCAATAATTTCATAACATGTGACCTAAAAATAATTTTAATCAATTAATTTAATATTTTATGACCATAAAATAAGTTGTAAGTCATAAAATTTGAGATTTGTCACCAAAAAAATAATATGTGACCAATTAATTTATTTAATTTGTGACAGAGAAATCAATTGTGGTCTACAAAATTTGTTGTTTGTGACTGTGTCATCTGTGATTGTGACTAATACATAAATGTGACAATAAATTATATAATATTGTGACCTTAGAGTATGTTTGATGGATATTATTGAGAAAATAATGTAATTTAAATAATGATATGATGGAAAATATGTGGTTAAAAAAGTAAGGAAAAGTTATTAATGTATAGAAAAATATTATTTTATTGAAGAATATGTGATTGAAAATGAATTATGAAATAATTTATTTTCAAAGAATATGTTCAAACACGGGCTTAATATATTTAATTAATAAAATATTTTTAATTAATTATTTAAGAAATAAAATTTAAATTAATATCCGACTTTTGAAAAAGTAAACCTTATTTCTTAAATTCAAAATGGTGTATTACTAATGAAATTTTCTCATAAAATAACCCAGAGCCCACTTATCCATCATTGGTCCATATACAGAACTCATATTCCCTAAACACATTTTTTGAAGTGGAAATTACACTTAACCCTACTTTTAAAGATTCTAATTCTAAAATCGGATGGAATGTTTCAATTTTCACAAATCAGATTTTTCATATTTAATTATTAAATATTAAATATTCTTCCAAAACCAAAACCCTAATTAATTTTACCCTCTTCTCTCTCTCTCTCTCTCTCTCTCTATATATATATATATATATATATCTTACGCTCACTGCCATTTATCTCCCTTCTCTCTCCGTCCATCGAAAATCCCAGCCATCGGGAAGGTCACCGCCTCCTCAAAAAACCTCAAACCCCTTCCCACGTCAGCACTACATGCATCTACATCTGGCCATCGCTGCAGCAACAGTCGATTTATGGCTGTCGTCGCTGCAGCCATGAAGTTGCTATCTGAGAAACGCCGTTGCTAAGTGGCGGTCGATGCACTCCACTGAGAGTCGTTTGCAGCCACGATTTTATTGATATGGACAGTGGTGATGGTGGTGACATGTGATACAATATGGTTTTGGTGGCGATGCAGTGGTGGGTTGCTGTGATAGTGTTACAGGTGACCTGTAATTTTTGTTGGTGGTGGCGATCTAGTTGTGGTGGTGGGGATGATTTTCCCAATTTATAGGCTATTTGGTTGTGGTGGTGGGTTACGATTTTGTTGTGATGGTGGGGATGATTTTGTTTGTGGTAGGCGACTTTAATTTTTGGGTGATGATTTGGTTGGTGTTTGGGCGACTACTGTGGGTTTGTGAGGTTTGGTGGTGGTAATAGTGATAGTGATGGTGGTTGTCGTGATGATTGTGGTGGTCGTGGCGGTGCTCGGGAGTTGAATGAGATGGGGTTTGAGGTGGTGGTGGCGACGACGGTTTGACCGTGAGGTGGTGCGGCTTGCAGGTAGCTGAGGAGGTGTTTTTTTTTTTTTAATGGTGGTGGTGTGATGAAGGCGATGGTCCGGTGGTATGGTGAGGTGCGGGCGGCAGTTGTT